TGTAGCCCCAGCTGTCCTGGAACTCACTATGTAGACCAGGCTGGCCTTGAACTCACAGAGATCTGCCTGCCTCTGCCCCCTGAGTGCTGAGATTAAAGGCCTGTGCCACCACGCCTGGCTCATTTGGAATTTTTAATAGCTTCTTATCTTCAGGAATTAAAAAACCAGATCCCAAACTCCTCAGCATGGCATTAAAATTCAACAAAAAAAGGCAGCCTTAGCTGTTTAGCTCTGACTGTCCTCTCCCATCCTCAGGTACTTCTTTCAGATATTAAAGCAATGGAGTGTGTTACTGAATATGTTAAAGCTGTAGTGAAATGTTTCTTCTAATCATGTAGTTATTAAAAATTTTTAAAATAATGATAAAAAATAATTCTTCAAAGCATAAAAACTTACTCCTTAATAATTAGTAGATGTGAAAAACATTACCATTGACATCTACCGACTTTATATGCGTGCTCAGATGCCAAGGAGCTCAGAAAATAACCGACCCTAACTAGCAATAGTCAGATATATAGAGATTAGAAACCCATGTGCATCTTAGTATCAATTATATTAAAAATTAATTTTTCTGTATGAAGCTGTATTTTAATAATGAAATGGAAATCTTTTTTAAAGTTTAAAATCTCATTTAATTTTATGTGTTATAGGGTTTAGACAGCCTCAGCTACATAACAGATTTGAGGCCAGCATGGGCTACATGAGAGTCTGCCTCAATAAAAAAAAAAAGTTTCAGTAGCATGCACAAGGCCCCAGTTTGATCCCCAGCACCATAAAAAAATATTGTACCAAGGCACACATAACATTAAATTTACCATCTTAACCATTTTAAATGAAGTTTTAATGGTTTAAGGACATTCACAGTGTTACACAAACCATCTCTGTTATTCTTTGTATTATTTTAATGGTTTCTTGAGTGATAATTAATATGCAATAAATTTCATGTGCAACTGGAAAAAAAATGAGTTTTCCTGTATGAAACAGTGTATTTTTAAATAACTTTTAAAGGTTAAAACCTCATTCAATTTTATGTCTTATAGGGTTTATACTGAGTTCAATATTGTATAACTGTATTAATTCAACTGCGAACCTAAAAGTTGACAGCCAATTTTGAAAGAGATGCATCTTTGCTGTGGAAATTGTTATTGAATATGCTAATGCTGTAATGAAATGCTTCTTCTAATTATGTGGTTATTAAATAAATAATTTTTTAAAAAAGCAATGATCACTGCAGCATCAGTATCTGCTGCTTTTCCCTTGCACACCCGTTTCCTTTAGCTAGTACCATTGCTCATATCTGCTCAATCTGAATTCTTCTGCTTTCTCCTTCCCTACTCAATCTCCCAGATTAATGTCAATGCTAATATCATATGTGTACATGACAGCTTTCAGATGCATGCATCTCTCACCCTACCAGGACTCTGTAAATAGGTACCCTCTTTTCTAAAGCTTAATATCACTATCACATGGCAATCTGTTCCAGAGAGCAGACACTGCCACAAATGTTTGCAGCTCTGAGCACAAATGAAAAACTAAGAGCTGACACCTATTAAACTCTTGATTCTTCCTAATATTAGAATTTCTTAAAAAACAAAAAACGGTTAGCCATATCCACAGATGATCCAAGCACTTATTCCACAAAAACAAATGTATACAAAAACCTCTACCCAAATACTTAGAGCAGATTTACTCATAATGCCTAAAGGTAGAAACTACTCAGATGTCCTGAAGTAGGTGAATGGCTAAACGAATTGTGGTATGCCCATACAATGGAATACTGTTCAGCAATTTAAAAAAAAAATTAACAAGTAATTGTTACTTACAGCAAGTTGATGAAATCTTGAATTAGGGTCACTAAAAAGGAGACTCAATCCCCAAAAGTTACATATTCTGTGATTCCATTTATATAACAAGTAATTTCAAAGTGAAAAATTTAAGAGAAATAGAGAACAGATTACTGCTTGCAGGGGTTAGAGATGGTGTGTATGAGGAGGTGAGGCAGGGTATGGCCATAAAAGAGACCCTTATAGTGATAGAAACACTGCATTTTGTCAATATCTTGGTTGTCATATAGAAATACAGCTTGGTAATGTATATCAGTGCAGGAAACTAGGTCAAGAGTATAAAGGACCCATCTGCATCATTTCTAACAATCCATATGCATCTACAATTATCTCAAAATTTAAAAAACAATAAAAGTAACTGTTTCCAAAATCTCAACTGAGAAGTAGAGACTAAGTACAGAAGGACCTCACAGATACTATGGTTTCAAACAGCAGGTCTCAGTGTACTCAATACCATGGGGCTTTGCCCACAGGGGTGAAGAGCTTTCATTTTGGCCCATATAAAGGAATAGACTTCTACATATATGAAAACCATTTTCAGAAACTTGAATGGCAAAAGAAATGTCAAATAAAAGAAAAAGGTCTTTGCCTAGAAAGCTGAGTGGGAGCCCTGGATGAGAGTGCACCTTCAAAAGTACTGACTACAGCTTCTGTGGACATGGGAAACAGCCACTGATCTGTGAAATCTGATCTATTTGCCATTTAGATCCATGTGACTCAGGGAGGCTGGCTTCATAGCTAAAAATACAAGAAATCTGCAGCTTGGTAACTTGGCTTGTGGGTTTTTATTCAGATACTGCACATTTGGAGGTAGTGGTTTTCTATTTATATCAGTCAGGGGCAAAGGAGGTTCTAGTACTCAAGTGATGGGTTGAAACCTAGAAACAAAAAGATCTCAAGATTTATCTGCGAATATACATTTTATTTGGGAGCTACACAATACCATCAGTACGAGAAACATGAGCTATGAAGTCTTCGCAGACTAGAATGTTGCCCTACTGAATATCTGCCCCAAAAGAGAACAGAGGGAGTCATGAGCTATTAAAGTCAGAGTAGGGTGTGGTAGACACATGAGTGACCAAGTACCACTCCGACTGGCAGCTCTGAGTCTGAAGAGAGGGTGTGGTGCCTTGGTCCTGGCTTTTCTTTACTCTTGCACAGTCCCACTCAGTATTTCCCAGTAACACTCACAGCCATCACAACTGGTCAGCATGGCAGCAGATTTTAGGGTATCAGTTCTTAAACATCCTGATTCCTACCCCAGAGGTTACTTAGAGATATGGAGACCTTTGGGTGGTTTCCGCCAGAGACCTGCCTGGCAGCCCTATTGCTGCACTCACCCATGAGGACACTCAGCAACTTCTGCACTCTGGAGTTGACACCCACGATTCGGTAGAGTCCTTGCTCATTGATCCCTGAGAAGAGAAACAGCGATGATTTAATTAGATGCCCATCAGAACACAAGTCAGGCCAACAAGGCCAAATGCTCTTTTATTTTTCCTTCATTTTCTCATTCCTTCTAAAAGCTGCTGTAATTAAAGTTCCCTGTCACTCAGCTCAGCTCTTAGCAAAGGAGTGGGATTTGGTACAGCTGTCTAGGATTTCACGGATGTGCTGCACACTCCAACCTTTGCCTTAGCCGTCATCAGGGGGAAAGAAACTTTCCTCTTCTCTTGCCAAAGGCAGTGGATGGAAAACTTTAAAGATGCAAAATAATTTTAAAGATGTCATATTTAACAAATTCTTATACTTAAAAATCCAAAATGATATGACTTTTTAAAAAAAATCACAGAAGATTAATAACTCACCATTTATTTTTACATGTAGTATAAAAATACTAAGGTTAAGGAAATTTTAAATCTTAGGAAATGTTAGTCAAGACTGAGAAATTAGAAAATCCAGTCAATTATAAAGACATATTCTTTAAAAGTAAACAAAAGACCATCTTCATTGGCCCCAGAGAGAAGCAGTTAGAGCAAAGGAGTACACTTTAAAATACCTGAACAGAGAACTCAAAATGCAGTACTTTAGTTCATTTACACGCATGGATTAAAGCACAACAGTGTCATTACAAAAAGGAGCAACTCTTACACATGTGCAAGTATATGAGTGCAATGTATATGCATGTTCATGTATGTGTAGGTACATGTGTATACATGCATATGGAGACGAGAGGAGAACCTTGGATGTGATCCTCAAGGATGCCACCAACCTCTTTTGAGTCAGGTCTGTCACTGGCCTGGAGCTTACCAATTTGGCTGCACTGGGCGGCCAGGGAGCTCCAGGGATCTTCCTGTTTCTGCCTCCCTAGCCATGAGATTATAAGCACATATCACTATACCTAGCATTTTTACATGCATTTTGGGGACCAAACTAAGGGCCTCATGCTTTACTGAATGAGCTCTCACCAGACCCAAAAGGGAAAAATTCAGATCAAGCTTTCCGTCTCTTGGTGCCAGTCCATCATATCTTGCACCTCCCGGTAACTGGTCTGCTTACTTTCTGATCCCCCTATGAACTTTTTAGTGTGTAAGTCAGTTCACAACACTTCCCTTAATACCTTCTAATGAATTCTTACATGCAGACTATAGTCAACACTTCTGAAGGTGGCCTACAAGGTCCAAATGACACATCATTCTACCCTTCCTACTAATATACCAACCTTTCCCAGCCTCATTTCAGCTGCTCTTCTTCCAGATCTTTGCCATCATTCAGGTCTCAGCTTAATGTGACCTCTTTGATGTAATACACTCCACAGCCAACATATTGCATTGAACAGCAATGATAATACCCCAAATTATCTTTTCCCTTAAGTCTTCCTGAAGTGTCTTCAACAAAATCTTCACAAAAGCAGGACTCATGAAAAAAAAGAAAGTGGTCTGGAATGATACAGGCTGATAGCTGAAAAGGACCTGGACTTATAAAATCATGACCACCATCCTTCATGGTTCATGAATTAAAAGGGCTGGTCAAACACCAACAATGGGTCCCTTATGACTCAATGGCAGAGAATTTAGCCACTGACATGCTAGCTTGAAGGCTTGAAGGTCTAAAGTGACTCTATGTCTTTTGTTCTTGTGCTCTTCTAGGACTTCATACAATCCTAACTCCCACTGGAGAATAACTGATAAATCCCAGAGAGTATGGGGTTTCTGCTCATCTCTGGTCACCACAGATATGTGTATAAATAAATGAATGGTAGTAGGGAAATAACCATTTGCTTCAACTGTTTATACAAAAAGGGCATTTAATTCCCAGTGTCCCTGTTTTTTCTTTGTGCTACATGAAAACTTTCTTAGAAGTCAAAATGTCATTTTCATCCTTATTTGAGAAGACAGACAATGAGGCAGAGACTAGGAAACCACACCAATCCGTGACTTCTTCTCCTTCTTCTAGTTTTGACTTCAGGGGGTGCAGGTGGGGTCCTTCCAAGCTACTGGTTTGCAGTGATCACAGATCATAAGAATAGTTTTACATGATTAGGATTCCTTCTTGGTTGGGCTGCTGAAAACAGGCAAACAGGTAGGCTGCCTAACTAAGTACATGAGCTTGCATGTATGTGCTTCTGTTTTTGCCAACCCCGTCTACAGTTCTTGTTTCCCTTCCATTTCTTCTTTTTTTTTTTTTTTTTTTGAGACAGAGTCTTACTATGTAATCCCAGATGGCCTCTAAGTCTCAATTGTCAGACAAGTACCAACACACTGCTTTTATTCTTTTCTTTTAAAATGAAAAAGTTAGCTCTAAAAAATTAGGAAGTACAGCTAAGGCAAATCAAGAGAAGACAGAGAAAGTCAGCAGAGCGCCACTAGCAGTACACCAGACCTGTGTAGAGAGACCTGCTCCTCTGCTGATTCCACAGAACCGGTTCCAGCTGGATAGTCATTTGGTAAATTGCAGTTTTTCATTTAATGTACATAATTAGGAAAATATTGGATGTCAAAAAATGTATTTCTACTGCATTTTCAGTGATTCACAATATTTTACTCTATGAATGAACTACTCTCAATTTAACAAAGCTTAAGACATTTGGCTAGTTCCTGATTTTACACTTTAACCACATAACCGTGTAAACATCCTTTTGGCTCAATGTGACTGAAATCCTTATTTTTCAAGATCAATTTCCACCTACTTCTACTTGCCATCCTTTGGATTTTATGTATCTCTGAAACCTGTTTTAACTTTTTGTGGAAGGAAGTCAAGGAAAAATAAGCAAACATTTAAAAAATTATGTATTTCTGCATGTTAAACTACTTTGGGGGGCTGGAGAGATGGCTCAGTGGTTAAGAACACTGTCTGCTCTGGCAGAGAACCCAGGTTCAGTTCCCAGCACCCACATGGTGGCTAACAACTGTCCAGTTCCAGGGACTCCAACCACCTCTTAACTTGCACAGGCACTGCATGAAACAGGTACACTTACACATATGCAGGCAATATACCTTCACATATAAAATAAAAATAATACATGAAATATTTTAAATATAACTACTTTGGAAAGTAAACCCTCACTAGACATGCAGGTATACATATGCAAGACACTGAGAGTATGTGTGCTTTTCCCTCTCCCTTTCTATTTCTCAACAAGTAAGGTTATGACCCTGAAGACAGAATTTCTTTCAAACAAATACAAAGGGCTACTTGGTAGAAAGACTGAAGAATAAATGTCACATCTCTGACAATGGCTCTGATCAAACCCAGTGGAAAGATGGTTAACAGCTTTTCTCAGAGTCAGAGTAGGTCAGGGTACTCAAAATTCCACACTGTCAGAACAGAAAAAACTGTTGTGTGTCAGACTGTGGTGAACCAACCTCCCTGGATCTCAATGTCCTGCTCTGATAGACATGGAGAATGTCAATATGGAGCAGGAACCTGACTCCTTCCTTCTCCCTCCCTGATGGTCCTCAGGGGACTAGTTCTGCAGAGCAGAGTTCCTGCACCTGGGGTTCACAGACTCCTAAGACACTGAAGTCCAGGGGTCTATGAACTAGATAGGAAAATTCTTTATTTTCACTAACTATAACTGACATTACACATTTCCTTCCATTACGCTTAGAAGCAACAAATCTCAGCGGTGTTGGCAGTACCTGCAACATGATCCCAAATCAGATATTTTCGTAACACCTTATAATTATTAGAAAACTCTTGAAATATTGTAGTTTCTAGACTATGTCAGTTATCAGACCCACCACTAGAAGTTGTTAAATAAGTTGTAAGCCAAGAAGCATCTACTACTGACACAGCTGTATCTTCAAGTATTTTAATAACTGAATTTCAGTAACTGGTTTCTATTTGTATACATGTAAAATATTCTCATGACCAGCCAAAGAAGCATATGACATGAAATCGGTTGAAATGCCTGCTTCAGACTAATGTGACCTGTTAGAAACAGAGGGACAATGGCACCAGGGGAATTAATGAGTCACTTAAAACCAGCAACAGCAGGTAGTGGATCTGCCCCTCACCAGATGAGCCACCTTCCATGAGAACAATGCCATCTGTTGGACTACTTTACCTCTGGTTTCTACCGCATGGATGCACCTCCTGATTATGCTGAAGCCAATGCTGTCCAACTGTGCAGCTGAAAGAACAAGAAAAGTACAGTCAAGCCTTGGCCTTGCAAATCAACCTCAGGGTAGGCTTCGCCAACCCATGAAAAATTAACAGCATAGTGTGGTCACTGACCCTCTCCCTTTTCCCATGAGGAAATAAAGAAATTTAAAACTTTTTAAAATTTTATTTTTTTTATTTTATGTGTATGCGTGTATTGCCTGCATGTAGGTAAGTGCACCTGTGTTGTGCAATGCCCGCAGAGGTCAGAAGAGGCTATCAGATCCCCTGGGACTGGAGTTATGGACAGTTGTTAGTTGCCATGTGGGTGCTGGGATTCAAACCTGGGTCTTCTGCAAGAACAATCAGTGTTCTTAACCATCTCTCCAGCCCTCATAAAGAAATTTTTAAAAAATTTATCTTAGTTGTATTTTTTATGTGTATAAGTTATATTGGCTTCAAGTGTATAAGTGCAGCCCTGTCATGCAATGCCCATGGAGGTCAGATCTGTGCTGGGAATGGAACCTGGGTCCTCTGCAAGAGCAATCAATGCTCTTAACCACTGAGCCATCTCTCCAGCCCCAGAAAAATAAAGAAATTTTTAAAAAATTTAAATAGCTGGTATTCACTGAGAACTTACTATATGCCAGATACATGCTAAGTGCTCTGCACCTATTACCTTATTTAGTTCTCACAGTAACCTCAGCTTTATTTCAGTTTATAACTGAAGTGTATAACAGCACAGAGTAATAGACACCTTTGAGTTGACTAGCAGTCTTCTCCATAAAGCAAAATGGAAGTGCTTTACCTACATTATGTCTTTTAATTCTGGCAAGTCCTCTAGAATGGTGCTATTATTAGTCCCATGTTACAGATGGAAAAATTGAGGCTTGGAAAAGCTAAATATCATAATCAAAGTTGCCAAGTTAACATGTAGAGACTTGCTCCAGGGCCCAGATCACCAAAATGCCTTAAATATGACTCTGAGTTAAAGTATAATTCTATTCAGTTGATTATGAATAAGGGAAAAATAGAGGGGAAATTGAGGACAGAAGAATGACCTAAAAACATTAAAACAGCCAACAACAAAGAACCCACCTGAACTAGAGCCACTGAGGCAGTAGAGCAATCTTCTGTGTGGCATATCAACAGGTGGCGATAAGATCCTCCATCTGCTAGTGCCACTAGTGCCACTCAGACAATGAAACCCACAGTAACAATTTTTTCCACAAAGGAGAACCAGTTTCTAACCAGTAAAAAGGAGGTCAGAAATCTGCCAAAACTCAGCCCTAGGCTTTGGCTACCCAGTGATAAACTGCATGACCACCTATATAGGTATCAATTTATTTTTGATCTCCTTGGACATTAGGACAAAACATTCTACAGCTTCCTGTTCATAGTGAAGAAGGAAGTGGTCAAGAGTAGGAAAGTAAGGACCTGCCTGAGACAGTTAAGTGGGTAAAGGTGTTGCCACCGAGTCTGACAATTTGGGTTCAATTCCTAGAACCCACATCATGGAAGAAGAGAACCAACTCTTGACAGCTTGAGCTGTCCTCTGCCCTTCACACACATGTTGTGGCACACACTCATGTGCTCTCTCGCTCTCTCTCTCTCTCTCTCAAATAAACAAACAAATGATAGATGGATGATAGATGATAGATAGATAGAAGATAGATGATAGATAGATTAGATAGATAGACAGACAGACAGACAGATGATAGATTAAGTATTTACAAATGATTTTGCTATCTAAAGCAAAAAAAATAAAATTAAAAGACCAACTTGGCATGTACGTGAAATGTGAACTGGGGTAGAACCAGATCTAATTTTTACTATCATCCAAATGAAGACTTAGAAACCATGAAGTTTTAAAACAAACAAAAAGGTTAACCCCACGTAGAAAGTAGCCAGGCATGATGGATCATGCCTGCAATCCCAACATGTAGAAGGAGACAAGAGGCTCCTGATTTCAAGGTTAGAATTTGTTTGCCTCAAACAAACAAGCAAATCAATATGAAGACTATCCAAAATCAAACTAAAAGTACCATTAATTTCCCCAAACTTCTCTTTCCAAATCACAGCAGCTCCTGTACGTACATGCATAGTCACTGCTTAGTGGCACTTTATAAATGCGTTTAGCCTATAGGATAATAAATAAAGCACCAGAAGAGACATAGGAAAACAGCATTTCCTTGGCTTTAAAAACCATTTTCTTATTCCCCTAAAATAATAAAGAGCATCCTAACTCCTACCCTTGAATTTTCCAGTATGAACCAAGTATTTCTTCTTAAATACTGTCATTTCAAGCTTTCTGACTGAAGCTGAAAGACAGACAAACACAATTCTTACCAATGAAACTCAAGCGCTTCAAATGCAATACAACTTACAAATGCACAGCAAACACATGCTGGAACCCAAGAGAAAAATCTTTGTTTTAAATTAACAGTTTTGTTAATATATAATTCACAACTCATAAAGTTCAGCTGTTGTAAGTATACAGTTTTGCTATTTCCATATGTTTATAAACTGCATCAATTATCACTGGTCCCAGAACATTTTATTGCCCCCCTGACCCACAAGAAAAAAAAAACAAAACAAAAAACAAAAACCCACACCAGTGTTGATCTCCACTTTTCTTTTCCCCACTTCTCATAAGCATGAATCTACTTTCCTTCTTTACGGCGCAGTTGCCTTTTATAAACACTCCACATATACGACATCATAAATGTGTGGTTTTTATATCTAGCTTCTTTCACTTATGTTTTCAAGACTATTATGCAGCATTAGATCTTCATTCCTTTTTAAGGTTCTATTAATATTCCACTATATATACATATCACATTTTGTCTACTCATCAACGATAGACATCTTGGTTGTTTCCATTTCTGGCTATATGAATATCTGTGTACAGTCTTTGTATAGACACATATTTTCATTTGTCTTGTATATGTATCTATAAGTGGAATTGCCAAGTCATAGGATAAGCCCACACTTAACTTTTTGAGTAACTACAAATTGTTTTCCAAAGTAGCTGTACCACTTTATGTCCCCACCAGCATATACAGGGTTCCACTTTCTCCACAACCTTGATGACACTGGTTACTGTCTTCTTTGTATTACAGACATCCCAGAGGCAGTCAAAGCTATCTCAGTGTGGTTTTGTTCTATACATCTCTGATGACTAATGACACTGGGCATCTTCTCGTGTGCAGAGGATGATTTTCATTCCTTTGCAAAGTAGTCAGAGCAGAGCCAATGGGAAAGTATGTGTCAGGCAGGGAATTATCTTTTTGTGCTTAATGAGGTTTCCAAAATATTTATAAATGTGATTCCATAGTCAGTTGAAGCCTTTAGCTCTTTGTTTGAGAGGTACTTCAGAGAAATCTTTACAAAGGCATAGTAGTCAGAAGTTTGGGGTGGGGGGGGGAGAACTGCTGTTGTATACTGAACTCTGGGGAGCTGCTGAGACAGATTACAAACTTAAGTAAGAGCAGGATTGTGAACATGGTCTTCTCCTAAGCATTGATGAACTTCATCATGAACAAGGACCATTTCCTTACAACATTATAAGTTTTGGAAAGTCAGAACTTGGCAACTGAGAGTGAAGGCTCTAGTGCTTAGATGAGCCATCAGCCCAACAAGCAGAAAAAAGTAACACCACGTTGGACATAACCTACAGGCCAATCAGTCCTTGAGTCTTTTTTGGAGACAATGTAGTAAGTGAGATCCTTTCCTGGGCAAGTGCTGTACGAATGAGAAGAATGCAATGGAACTTTCCAAATATGTCCAGAAAAATTTCTATTTTACTAACCTACATTAGCTGTTGGTTTTCCCTAGCTAGTGCAGTTTCTCCAATTCGTTAAAATCAAGCAAACTCCCTTTACCTGATGTTACACTAAAAGGCCTTATAGTTTACACAGGTAATGCTGTATTTGTCAGTACATCTTAATTGTTTAAATTAGAATGCATAGAGCATTTACATACTGTAGAGCTAAACACTAGGAGCTGAAAATAACTCTGCTAAGCCTACTTTGTACATTGTTGATAACTACTTAGCTTTGTAAGCAGATAGAATTGTGTTAAGAAATGGACCCACATCAAAGGTACTTATGAAATACAGTTTAGCAATCACTGTTCTAAATCTCTAAACCAGAACTAATGGAAGTTCTACATTGTCACTGCCTCACACTTTCCCATCTCTGTCTCTTTGCCTCTGTTTCTTCCTTTACACACACACACACACACACACACACTCACACACACACACAGAGTTTGACTTCTACTCTCATCCACTTAATTTCCTGCTGACATCACAATTAGGTTATTAATAATTAACAAGTATATATTATTTAACATGGACTGAGTGCCATTAATGTGACAGGGACCACACTACACACCTATGTAGAACATTAATTCTGATCTCAGCCCAGTGAGTTCATAATCTAAGCTAATTGAGATCTAGTCTGCAAAGTGAATTCCCACTAAAAGGTTTAGAACACTGTCACCACAGAGTTGAGTTTGCAAATGACTGAGAAAGTGGCCCGCCAGATGGAAGCGGCTGTCCTTAATCCCTTCAAGCAGGTGATTTGGCTCATTCACTGAGCCAGGGCTTAGAAAAGGTCAGGGATTTATTTGCAATTTCTGTATCCTTATAATCTCCAGAAATAATCTCTCATTAAATATCGACTAGGTTTGCATTATTCCCTTAATTTGACTTGCAATGAGGAACTGTGGCTCCCAGGCCCAGCATTCCCTATCCTGGAAGTTAAAACTTAGCTTCTCCTCCCTCTGTCAGCCTCAGGTTCACTGGGCCAGGTTTACACTAGGTAACCCACACTGTTGACTTATAATTAATATTGGCAGAACACACACAGAAGACCCAGGCTGAACTCTCAAGTTAGAAAGGTGTCATCCTCTTTGAAGCCTTTTCTCTGTCTTTTCTTTTTGGAGAAAGAAAAGGGTCAGGGTCACACAAATCCATTTTGTCAAAGCTCTGTCAAGAACATGAGAATACAGGAGAGATGGGCACAT